CTGGAGAGGATCCGAGCGCGCCGCGGCCGTTTCCCCGCAGGCTCCCGGGGGCCGGTGCCCTGCGCGGTGCGGCCCGTCCGCAGAGCAGCGCAGCGGGCAGAGCCGCCAACCGAGGCACCGTCCGCACCGCGGTCCGAGTTGTCCCCGCGGTGTCTTCAACGTGCGAAGGATTTAGAGCAGCCCTCTGCTCGTCCGGGATAGATCCCGGATAAGTTAGGAAATTGTTTCCGTGAACCGCAGGCTCCCGGGGGCCGGTGCCCTGCGCGGTGCGGCCCGTCCGCAGAGCAGCGCAGCGGGCAGAGCCGCCAACCGAGGCACCGTCCGCACCGCGGTCCGAGTTGTCCCCGCGGTGTCTTCAACGTGCGAAGGATTTAGAGCAGCCCTCTGCTCGTCCGGGATAGATCCCGGATAAGTTAGGAAATTGTTTCCGTGAAGAGATAAAAGTCACATATGCTTTAACATACTTTAACAAAAGAAAAAAAATCATATGGCATATGCTGCTAACAGTCCTTTAAATTATTAGCTACACAGCAGGGAACGACCTTATGCTGTTAATTTGGTGATATACTTACTGATATCCTGATGCATATGTTTTATATTTCTGAAAAAAAAGCTCTTTAATAACATGTGTATGTCTTTCAATGCTTAACACAGCTAATTACAGTTTTTTTTTAAAAAAAAAAAGTCTGCTAGCAGCTTGCTTAGCAGCACTGCATCTGGTCTGCTGCTAGAATGCCTTGTTTTTATAAACATCAAAAGTTGACTTGTGAGCTACGGTCCCTTTTTCCCATTTTTTTATCTGCTACCTGAAAATTAATAATTGACGTCTAACAAAATGCAAAGTTCAATGTATGAACCACGCTTCATAATCATCAATGAACGACTCAACAAATGCAGAAATATTAGAGAATTATTCTGTCAACTGTAGCTGTGAAACTTACAGAGAAAAAAGGCTTGCAAAAATCGGTTATTTGGCAGTTGAAGGCTCATGCATTTTTGCATATGAATTCATACACATCTATTTTTCTAAATCTTAGGAAATAAGTGGACTCTGTAGTACACAAACTGTAACATCTACAGAAGCTCTGATCCTTAAAGCTTTCTTATAGATATAGCAGGTATTTTGGAAATACTTGTTGCTGCTAAAAGTCCTGTCCTGTTCAGTGCATTTCCTGAGACTGGTGCAGTCAAAACTATGTAATTTCTGCAGAGTGTTCTGACAATTCCTGGAATGTTTAGGCTCTTATTTATAATTAGTCGGAGCACAGAATTGTGGAGACTTATTTGAAGACTCATTTAACCTTCATAGGGATCTAAATCAGGCTAATTATCTCATGAAAACGGGCCTGCTGGCAGTAAAAGAATTAATGTACATATTTTCATTATAGTGGAGAAAGCTGATGCTTACTTCCAAACCTCAAAACAAAAGCATATTTACTGCTCATGTAGAATTCACAGCCCTGGTCCCAAAATTGCCATGCATCACCATTAATTAATCAGTTTGTTTATTTTTGAGACATACAACTCTAACAGACGCTAGCAGGACTAGCAGGAAATGCTTACAGAGACTGATGAAGGAAGGGACTTGACTTTCACAGAAGGACTTAATTTAAAGTCTGAGCTACCGATACTTCTGTTCTCCTCTGTAGACTCTCTTTGTGCCCATGGATGTATATTACATAGTCCATGAGAGTCTTTGTCTCTGGTTACTGGCGGTTTTGCTGTTGAATACAACAGAGCCAAAATTTCACATGTAGGTCAGTTTACTTCACTGTAAAATGGTCTGTCTCTTTACTACCACACTTTTTCTTCCTTGTATAATAAGTCTTTGATACATTCTTATGCTGTTTGCCTTCTAACACAGTGAAAACCTTCATTTCACTGGAGTTCTTGCCATCCTTTGTATTACTATTACTAGTGATAGAGTTGATAAGTACATGTATTTGAAAAACCATAATGAGGTATATTCTACATTGCCGCATTTGTAAAAAAAAAAAAAATTTTTTTTTTTTTTTTAGATAGATGTTGGGAGGTACGTGCCTGGTGGGTACCCAACTGATACTGATATTTAGATGTCCTAAGTATTTCTGAAAATACTTTTAGGCATACAAAAAAATCCAGCTGCAGTTAGTAGTGCCACTACATCCTTACCAAAGGCATCACAGTTTCAATAAGATATAGTAGTAGCATAGATATAAACTTGAATTCATTGATATAATTGTTTTCCTAAGCCTTAGTGCTATGAGATGAATTACTCCAGGAGGTAAATGATTCTACCGGTGAGATATGCCAGCTCTCTGCCCTACCAGATCTATGTGTATCTTTTCTTGTTGGGAAATGTTATTGGAGAAGGAAATTCTTCCTTAGTATACTGAGAGCTTAGTCAGAAAGCTGAATTCCGGTTAGGAATCACGTCCTTTCTCTTGAATGTGTGCTTTCAATGGAAAAGTACTTCTCTATATGAAAGGACATAGAACCTTGTCTCCTGGCTTTGGTTTCCACTGCTCAGATCTTCATCAGTCTGACGGTTCTTAAATGACTTTGCAGTTGCATCATGTGCCTTTGTGCTCACCAAGCCCAGTTATTTTAGTTCCCCTTCGGAGGTGCTCTGAGGTCACCGGCCCACATGTTGTTTGTGGATGTATTAGTAGAACACAGTGGATCCGTGACTCATGGGTTCCCGCTACTGTCATCGCAGCACCTACCCACTCCTACTATGTGGACAGTCAATCATTGCTGAGTTCCTGTTGGCTTGACTCCTCTTTTAGTGCTTGGAATGGACTAAGGCAGAAAATGCCTTTTTTCCTTTTGCATTAACTGCATGGGCAAGATCCATCCAGTTACGGTACTAAGCTTTGGACTGGGAAACATGGTAAACTCAGTTTCATAAGAGGAATCCTTCAGCACAAAGTTAGGACTTTCGAAGTTCAGTCAATAGCATGTGGACAGCCTAAAGAGAGATGCGGTTCAGATGTCTTACAGTCACGCTGGCACTACTAAGTGTAAGGGCCCAATTTATCTGGTGTGCATGAGGAAAAATGGGTTAGTCTGGAGGCAAATAGAGACATTAGGCAATAGAGATATTTCCAATTTAGGCCTTTAAGAAGCTATGAGTTCAAAAGAAAAGTGAAAACACAGATGAAGTCACAGATGCAGCATCTCCTTAACTTTTAAATCCCTTTTAAATAGCAAAATAAGCTCTACACCATTAAGGATTGAATTAGTCTGGCTGAATATTTTTAACCCTCTAATTTTGAATAAGAAGTCCCTTTCACTGCTAATGTAAAAAGAAGATAGCCGTCTGACAGGCATTATTACAGTAATATAGCAATCCAGGAGACAGTCAAAGCAGAACGTTCCTAACCTGCAAATTAGAGAAGGAGGGTGCCATGAGCAAAGTAAAGGTGCCAGTAATAACAGACTGAAACATTAGGTCAGCGAGATGTGGGACTGTTGCTGTCCTTTCTTTCATTGTTATCATAATTGAATAAAGATGAGATCATTTTGGCCAGGATTTGGCATCTGCTTATGAAGTAGAAGGCTAGCACATCAATCCAATGCATGAAGTCATTATGCCTTTCTTTACTGTGATTTGAAAGGTAACTACTTAGCATGATTTTGTCATCAGAGAAAAAACTGAATAGCTTGAGAGACAGCATTTCAGGTTTGGTTTTTTGTTTTTTTGGGGTTTTTTTGAATGTTCAGAATAGCCTCCTTGGAAGAGGACTGTGGCCTCGTGACTACAGCAATGAAGGATTACAGTTTTGAGTTCCTGTTTTCAGTTTGTCCCTGTCCCCTTAATTTTATAACTCAGCCTCAGTTGCAAACTGTAAAATGAGGATAGTAACTCTGTTATCCTTTATTTTTCTTGCCTACTTAAGTTTTGAATACATATGAACAAAAATACTTTCTTAGTTTTAGAAGTCATGCAGATGGGTTAAATTTCCATTCTTCCCATCCTTCTCTTTTTTCGCTTCTCACTTCCAAACTTCCATAGTACCTGATACAGTAGAGACCTCTTCAGGTTGCTTTTGCCATGTTTCATCAGAAACATAATATAGAAGATGCTCCCCCACACTCCCTCCTGATTTGGTCTAAACAGATAGTGCCTCGATTTTCAAAATATTGAGTAACTGCTATATTTTTTCCACATAGTTTGGTATAGCTGAAAGACTGAGCAATGAGTGTTGCACACACTCTATTTTACAGACAGCTGAAGTAGCTTCTGAGAGTCATGAGCAAATAGTGCTTGCAGTTTTGTGAAGATTATTCTTAAAATATATGGCATGGAATAATTTAGGAGATTTAAGGAGTTATAATTCCTTGAGAATATTAGATTAGGTCCTCGAGAATGCTAGAGAGAGAGGGCAAGGTGATTACTATTCTATTTTTATTCCTACTTGTGCTTTGTAAATGATACATGGGCTAGGGAAGTTTTTGGTGTCTTAGAAACCTGCGTCCACTGTGAATTGTTTTTGCTTTTCAACTATTAGCTGGTAATTAAATAAGATACACTTTCCTGCTAAGCCATAAGCTTGTGGTATGTTCTTTTCTGTGGCCATTTCAGTAGAGAGAATAAGCAAAGCAATAGATCTGGTAAGCAGAGGATCCTGCAAAGTCATTCTGGCCATTTCAGAGAAAGACTGTATAGCCTTGTGTCGCATTTGTCCTGTATTAAGACCTACACAGCCAGTTATGTACAAAGGAGTTATGGAAATTCATTGACTAATGATTACAAAATGAGCAGTTCTGTTGATGTCAGGGAACTGCTCCCTAAGGGATGCGGAGTTGAAGGTGATAACATAGCTGGCAGGACGAGGCCTTGCTAGCCAGGGCCTCATGCTGCAGTACTTGAATGAAGAAGTGGGGCAGGCCGTGGGGAGAACCAGATTCAGATAAGAGTTCAGACCAGCCGGCAAGTTCTGGTGGTGAGACAAGTCCCAAGCGAACTGCAAGTCAGGATCAGGTGCAGGGATTGCTGGGCAGGTCCATGGCAATGAGCTCCTGAGGTCGAGCTGGGAAGCCAACTTGTAGGGCAGGGTCAAGATCGGTGATGCCTGGACTATAGCAAGGCTGGAGACTCACATGGCTGTGGCATCACAGGGCAGGGGCTAATGGTTCTGGACTGGGCTGAAATAGAAGGCTAAGTATGGGCAGGGTTGGAGAGACCTTGAGCAGTGGGTAGGGACAGAAGACCCATTGGTGTCCTCAAGAGCTTGGCAAATGATGTATAAAAGGTCAGAATTATTGTTAGTTAGAACTACATAGTAGTTTGAAAATGGCAGCTGGATAATATTTAGTAATAAATAAGTTGAGATAGTGGTTGAGGTGCTCTGTGATGAGGTAGCTCCAA